CGTCCGATTCTCTGTCCATAAAATTTTATTTTATTTTCAACTACAACTTGTTAATTGTCTTACTGTAATAAATTATCATTTTGTAATGTCGTGGGATTGGAACCACTTACCACAGTAAAAATTAAATTGCAAGGGTAGGTACGACCTTGTACAATAACAACAGTAAATAAAAAAAAATAAAAGTAAACCATTCAATAAAACCTAAATGAAAAATGTTAAAACAAAAATAGTTCGTGCCAAATTAATTAAACTAACACAAAATACAATTTTGCCTACAGTCTTGAACGGCGCATTTTAATTTGGATGTGTAAATATTTGAAGGAAAAAAAAACATGTAGACGTATTGATTTGGGTTATTTAAGTATTTTTAGAAGCCATACATATAAGCTATAGGTTTGTGCCTGACATTAATGGAATCTTCAAGGGACGATGGGTACGTCCCACCTTCTTGCCACTACATTAATGAATGTACATTCTTTATATATATATATATATATATAAACATCCATAAACTATTCATTTCAGTTGTATTTAAGGTGCTAAATGGTTTAAGAAATAATTATTATCATTAATGAGGACAAAACAGAGTTCTGTATTATGTTCCACTACTTGAATGTATGTATGTATATGTATATATATAAGCAAATGGTGATTCTCTTTAAAGCGGTTATTGAAAGAGAGAGAAATAATTAATTTGGGATTTTTAGGGTTTCAGTGTCACTTTGTTTGAGTGCGTTACCTTTGGGTGATCACCAGACAGAATCTAAGACTATTTTCGTCACACGTAAAAAGATGTCTCACCCCAGAAACCAAGACAATGACCCAGGTCAACCTCCCTCCCTCTCCCTCTCCCTCTCTGATAGCTACTGTTCTCGACTTTAAAAGACAGTACTCTTCATTGGGTCATCCTGAGAAAAGGGAACGAAGATAAAGCTCAATACTTTATTCTTCTTTTAAATCCGTCTTCGACACAAACCCTTCCTTTGACTCTACTGCCTGTGCTATATACGCAAGGAGAAATCGCCTCCGCTACAAATTATAAACACTTTTGGGTTTGGTGAGACGTTTCTTTGGAAATGGGGGAAGGAACCGCTGAAGCTGAAAGGAACAGGATCCTAAGGAAACAGCTGGCTGTTGCTGTAAGAAGTGTGCAGTGGAGCTATGCCATCTTCTGGTGCTCTTCACCCACTCAACACGGGTACGTATTGACAGCATTACCCTCTTCAACTTCTCTTCGCCCCATTAATGTTCTTGTACAATTGAAGATCACGTTCCTTCTTTGGTTGTGTATTATATATAGCTACATGACAAGATCGCACTTTTCCTGAGCAAAATTTCGGTGGAAATTCCTGTTTTTGTAGTGTTTCTTCCATGGTTCCATATCCTTTTTAGCAGAAACAAAAAACGTTTGGGTTACTAGCTAGCTATGGCAGGTAGATATATACTGGGAAAGACTGATCTGACAGGGTTTAATTTCGTGGGTGTGTTTTGGTAGGGCTTTGGAGTGGGGGGAAGGGTACTACAATGGCGACATAAAGAGGAGGAAGAAGAGCAGTGATGAAGAAATGGGCGATGAATTTAAGGCTGAATGTAGATATGGGTTGCAGAGGAGCAAGCAACTCAGGCAGCTTTATCTGTTTATGCTTGAAGGAGACGCAACAACCATTACTTACGACGACAATACAGTCTTGTCTTCCGACGATCTTACGGATGAAGAGTGGTATTACTTGGTCTGCATGTCCTATGTCTTCTCTCTTGGCCAAGGGTTTGCCCTCTCTCTCTCTCTCTCTTTTTCAACTTATTTATCTTGAGATAGATACTTTTTACCGTGCCATTTTGAGATTTTACTGTCTCTGTGGGTCCGGAAAGTGCCACGTTATGGAAAGACTACGTCGCAGTTGTATACTTTCAAGACTTTACTGTTTTGATTGTTTGGACCGACGTTTACAGGACATAAAATTTAAGAATGTCGATATTGTTATTGACTCATGAAAACGGGTTGCATGTGTCAGTTTGCCAGGCACAAGTTTGGCAACCGGCGAGACGATTTGGCTTTGCAACGCCCAATACGCAGAGAGCAAACTCTTCACCCGCTCTTTACTAGCAAGAGTATATATATGCCCTTTGCTACATATCTTCTACATATATCATCTTCTCATGCATGCATGCATGAGCCCTAATTAACAGATCATTCTGACTCTTTGATCGTGTTTTGTTTTCATGTGGCCCCCTTTTGTTCATTCTGAATAGAGCGCATCGATTCAGGTACATACATGCATGCATGCATGCATGCGTATACTAAATTAAATTTACCCTTTTGATCTTTTTTGTGTATATAATTAACAAATTTCAGAATTTAGAGTTTCTTTTCGGTCCTGTGTTTGCTGCAGACTGTTGTGTGCTTTCCCTTCTCAGGCGGTGTCATTGAACTGGGCGTCACAGATTTGGTACCAGTCTCTTCTGCTTCATCCAAATCTCTCCATATTTGTGTCTTTGTTTTCTTGCCTCACAAGGAACTCATAGATTTGTTTCCATGGCAAATGAAAGATCGCAGAAGATCACAATCTGCTTCAACACGTCAAAGCTTGCTTGTTAGACACCTCAAAACCTAATTGCATTGCAGAAGATTTCTCTGTTACCCAAAACAGCAACAGCGATGATGAACATAACCAAATGGGGTTTCGGATCAGCCAAGGAAACTCAATGCTCGAAGAGAATTTTCAGGAGCTCCGAGAAGGGAATCGCCAGAACGTATTGGGTTGCGCTGATTTGGGATCTGCAGCTGAAGACATACATTACAGAAGAACAGTTTCGTCTGTTCTAAGTTATGCAGCTAGTAGAAGAAAGAAAGCTCATCATCATCATCATCCATCAAATCTCGATTCTTCTGATTCTGGATCGAGTTTCTTCCCATGGAAACAACGTGGAACATCAAACGTGAAACGCCAGCGGCAACCTCAGCATCCTCAGAGTGTGTTGAGGAAGATTTTGTATGATGTCCCTTCGATGCATACTGCTAATATGCAGAGAATGTTTGAGAGAGAAACCTTTGGTCATCAGAATCAGGAAATCCAGCTCGAGCATGGTGATTCTTCGGATAGAAGAAGAGAGAACGAGAAGTTCCGCTTGCTTGGATCAATGGTTCCCACGGTTGATGAGGTAAATAAGCTTATAAGCCAGACGTGGAACCCTTTCTTGAAAAACTTACAACTTCAACACTTTGGTGTTAGACAGAGTCCGAATCTTTTGTCGGAAATCAACCTCCGAATCTTGCCCTTCTTTGCTAAACGATTCTGTTTTTCTTTTTCTTCTGCAGATCGACAAAGAGTCAATCCTGAACAACACGATCAAGTACTTGTGCGAGCTAGAGGCAAGAGTAGAAGAGCTGGAGTCATGCATGGGATCAGTGAATTTCGTGGAAATACAGAGAAAGATGAACCTTGATCCGTCTGCACTGATCGAAGAGACATCAGATAACTACGAGAGCACGAAAATCGACGTTAACACTGCAGAAACAGAACGTATAGGCGGCAGAGATGTGAGAGTAAAGCTGAAAGGAGCCGAAGTTGTGATCGAAATCAGATGCGCATACAGAGAATACATCGTTGCAGACATCATGGAAGCGATAAGCAACCTTCACATGGACGCTTTCTCTGTTCGCTCCAACACACTTAACGGATTCCTCGTCTTGAATCTCAAGGCCAAGGTATATATATATAAAAAAAAAAAAAACGAACCCTGGCATAGGAAAGACGGAAACTTTAGGAGAATCTGATTCAGTTTCTCGATTGATTTTGGAGATGTCGTGAATGGGTGTGTGTTTTCTCCACAGTTCCGTCGGAACGCAGTTGCGTCAGTGGGAATGATCAAACGGGAGCTCAGGAGAGTTGCAGGTGAGTTCTAGAGGTGGAATCCTCTTTCTAGATTGCGAGATATATATGATATGTTTTCCGGTGCGGTTCTTTTCATTCCCTGTAATTTTGAATCTATTGTTATTTTTTGGTTCCAAGAATTGGGCTCTATTATAGTTCTTGATCTGTTGATATAACACTAAGCAGCAACCGATCACCCAAAAATTTCACAATCCATTTCTGATACAAAACTATGTGCTGAAATTTTGATTGGAAGCCTTGTGGAGTCGTAGTATTTGATGGGCCCTTATTGGGCCTATAGGCCGATCTGAATTCCCTATGTTGATTATAAGTGCAGGCCCGCAAAGAACAAGTGTATTATTGCCAAGCTACTGATTCGCTTAGGATAAATCTTCTTATAACCTTGGCAAGTACGAGTTATGTTCGTTGGTTGATCTCTGTGTTTACTGCACAACGTACGTAGCTGCATGGGCAGAGAGCCTCAAAGCTCCACAATGGCTTTAATAGCTAGGGTTTTGTCTCCTCCTCCTCCTCCTGTTTCTTATAAACCTACTTTACACGGCTGATGGAAGAATACAATATTGACATTGTTGACCAGAGATTATTTACAAGTTTAGGCATTCGTAGGCGTTGACAAAGAGACATGGCACGCACGTCCGCCTCCATCATGATTCATGAACTAGGAGGCAACAATACTCACCTCGCCCTTTCATTCATCAATGTGCTGAAATTATAGATGCATATATCCATCTATTGCCCCCTTTTTTATTGGTTTCGGTGAATCGTGCTGCTACATGGGCTCTCTCTCTCTAAGCTAACCTCCGATTACACTCTTGGGCCAATTATTTCGATATAAATATTTGATTGACCGACCAATTAGATCATTGTTTTTGTAAAATAATTAGCGTGGTCAAGAGGTGAATGACGTTCATGCACATCTGGAATCAAGATGTTGAAAATCATATCTTATTATATTAGCAAAGAGAATTCAATCGCATCTTTAAGGGGCATAGCCATATAGCACCACCACCACACTTGTTGCAGGGAAGAAAAAGCCACTTCGCCATCTCGATCGTACGATCAGTCCTCCTTCATCGGACGGTCCGCATTCCTCCAACTTTCCGGTCACCGGTGTACCGTACGGGAGCGAATTGTATTTTTTGGCATTAAAGCTTCCAACGGTTCAATTTCAAAAAAAAAAAAAAAAAAACTGCAGCAACTTTAAAAGGTAAAATCAATTAAAGGCCGTTGCTTCTCTTTATTTTATTTCGAATTTCAAGTGATCTTTACACAAACAATACCTCTGAATTCCTCTACAATTCGTTCTCTGTTTTTTCTCGCTTTTTCGCACGCCAAACGGCTCGCTGCCTTTTGCTTTTTGTTCTTGCTTTACTGTTCCGGTCTTGGAAATTTCACTATCCGAAACCAAAAAAACGTTTTCCCCCGTTCGAATTTCAGATTCGGATTCGGATTCCAAAGTTTTCTGATAAATTACAAACGAAAGTTTTGAACTTCAATGACATTGTCGTGTTCTTTCCTCAGAAGAGCTGATCCACAAGAGCAAAGACAGAGAGATTTGAGTGTTCCAACACGATCTTCCGAAAAGATGGAGACTTCGTTGAGTTCAGATGAAAACTACGAACTGGGTTGTCATCAATCACCTCTTTCGGTCGAGCCTAATGACCAGTCGGCCTCGGGAACTCCGGTTTACTCAACGATGAGCACAGATTCCTTTGTGTATCCTCGGACTTGTTCGGAGACCTCAGGCTTTTCGGACCAAATAGATGAAACCAACAGCTTCTGCAGTGAGCCTTCTCCTTCTGATTGGCCTGTCCTCACGAAATCCAAGTCCGAGAGTTCGAAAACTTCATGTGGGTCAGATATGAAACTGCAGAAGGCGCTGGATGAGAATCTTGCTGTCCAAGGAATTTCAGAGCCAGGTGCTGCTCCCTCTCTCTCTTTCTCTCTCTCTCTCCACTCTTCAGCATTTTTTGGAGTTAAAAGTTGTTCGGGGTTCTGCAGAACTGGAGATTATGAAAGAAAGGTTCGCAAAACTTTTGCTTGGGGAAGATATGTCAGGAAGTGGAAAAGGGGTTTGCACTGCAGTGACGATCTCAAACGCCATAACCAACCTTTACGGTACATGAGCCATTGAGTTCTTGAGTGAACAGTCACATGATCCATTGAGTTTGCGTGGGGGCATCTTCTAATGCATGTATTTTGATGTCGCAGCTACTGTTTTTGGACAGAATCTGAGGTTAGAGCCCCTGGATCCGGAGAAAAAGGCATTGTGGAAGAGAGAAATGACCTGTCTTCTCTCTGTATGTGACTATATTGTCGAGTTTATTCCAACTTCACAGAGTCTAAGCAACGGAGCCACTATTGAGGTAAGCATTCTGAGTGTCCTATATATTTGATCTGAAATGTGAAAACTTTGATCGAGTTTCCTATTTTGGCCAAATTTGATATGAACTTCATTTGAGAGTTGAAGACTTTGATATAAATCTGCCAACTATCAAGAACTAAATTTCATGATCTTTTTTTTTTCTCAGGTGATGGAGAGCAGACCAAGATCAGACATCTACATCAACCTGCCTGCACTGAGAAAACTAGATTCCATGCTGATGGTAAGATCCCAGGAAATAAGGAAGAACCAAATGAACCCTAAAACATGTCCGGTTTTGGCTCTTTGATCAATTATTCATAGAGGAATATCAACTTAAAACAGCTGTATTCTACAGGAGACGTTGGACAGCTTCCAGAATACAGAGTTTTGGTACGCAGAAGAAGGAAGCTTATCGATGAAGTCGACACGCTCTGCAACCGGATCATTCAGGAAAGTAGTTGTCCAAAGGAAGGAAGAGAAATGGTGGTTGCCTGTTCCTCTGGTTCCGTCAGAAGGCCTGTCTGAGAAAGCCAGGAAGCAACTGAAGAACAAGAGAGAGAGCACCAACCAGATCCACAAAGCCGCCATGGCTATCAACAGCAGCATCCTTGGCGAGATGGACATTCCAGAATCTTACATGGCAGCTCTTCCAAAGGTTAGTCTGGAAATAAACACACAATGAATCGTATTTTTAGTGTTGTATTATTCATCAACAAGTTGTTCTGAATGTGCATGTCTGCAGAGCGGTAGAGCTAGTATTGGAGATTCAATCTACCGTTACATGAGCAGTACAGAACAGTTCTTCCCCGAACAACTCCTAGATTGTCTCAACATAGCGTCTGAGCATGAAGCACTTCAGCTTGCAGATCGAATAGAGGCTTCGATGTACACTTGGAGACGCAAAGCTTGTCTGAGCAATTCCAAATCCTCTTGGAACATGGTGAAAGATCTCATGTCAAGCACAGACCGCACAGACAAGAACTACGTTCTGGCCGAAAGAGCAGACAGTCTACTCTTCTGCTTGAAACAGCGTTTCCCAGAAATGGCTCAGACATCATTAGACATATGCAAGATTCAATACAACAAGGTAAAACAAAGTAAAAGTCGTCAACTTTAACCGAAATAAGCAGTGCCCAGAATCATATTAAAGATAATAAGTTTTGGGTTTTCGATAATTTTGTTGTCTGCAGGATGTGGGGAGAGCAGTGTTGGAGAGCTATTCGAGAGTTCTTGAAGGCTTAGCTTTTAACATAGTTGCTTGGATCGATGACGTTCTTTACGTTGACAAAACAATCAGAGGTGAAGAGGTATAGAACCAGATGTTAACTCGACATAGTATGTCTCTGTTTCTCCCTTGTAAATTAGATCAAATCTAAATACAATTAAGCGGATATCGACCAAACTTTGGAATGGTATATACATATAGAGAACAAAAAAAAACCAAATTTTCGTTGTCTTTTTTGAAATACGATTTCCCCACAGCTCAGAACTTCGCACATAAAGCCATCAACTTTAAAAACACGCGAACTGTGTCTGTCCTTTCTCCTTGGTCTCCCATACAGTTCAATGGGATTCAGGAATATTTAAAACTACGAACATGCAACACCGTTTCCGCTTTTATGATTTCTCCAAATACATACTTGTGAAGCCAATGCCGACAGAACTCTCCGATTCTTCGTTCGAAACCAAAACCAAACTTCA